TATTATAATATAATATTATTATTATAATATAATAATATTAGAGTTATTAATATAATTATGATATTATTTGTTACAATGTTACTATTATATTATATTATATTATTTTACGAGTCTGAATTTTAGATTGAAAAGATTGTAAATTTTAAATTTCATTAGGGGTATTATGGGTATTATGAAAGTTTTATTAATTGTATTATATTGATTCTCACACAATTTAAAAGTTAAAGTTGTCTTTAGGCTGCTTCTGATTTTGGGAGTAGATTCTTGAAAAATTCTTTAAAAAGCACTTTTGAGAAGATTTATCAAATATTAAAATCAGTTTCTGCTACAAGCAAAAGTGATTTTGGGATGGAAATAAGAAAATCCTATCAAAAAACTATCCTATTTTATTTCGTTCTTTTTTTTTGTAGAAGAGAAATCTTTTATTTCAATACTTGGTGAATGTTTTGGCGCGAGTGTTTTAGCAGAACATACACGAGGAGTAACAATGAGATTATGATATTTATAAAAATAATAAAAAAAACAATGAGGTTAGGATCTTAATTGTTATTTTAATTATTTTTTATATCAACTTACGTAAGGGATTATATTGTTATTCTGATAGATATAGCGTTCTAATATTTTTTTGAACATTATATAATGTTCTAATATTAATTGAGGCAAAAAATTTTAAATGCTAGGCAATGTATGGGCCTGTTTGACAAAGCTCTTGCTTTTAGTTAGTAGTAAGTCGTGACTTTTCAGTAAGTGTTTGGAATCAAGAGCTTAATAGGTTAAAATGATTTTTAAATTCATAAATAGTAGAAAATAAGCTAATATGAAAAGCTTAATAAAGTATATAGGCCAACTTTTAGTTATAGAAATTAATATACCATAACTAGATAAGTTGCGGACAAACTTGTCAAGTTATGGTTCATAGCCGGACAAGTTATGGACAAAAATGGACAATAACTTGTCAAGTTATGATTCATAACTAGATAAATTATGGACAAAAACAGTAATTTGACCTATTTATTAACTTATGTAAACTATTGGCTTATTAATTTTAATTCATCTCAAGTCTTGGCCTATTTCATTCTTTCTCCCTTTTAAATTTTCTAATAAGCAATAAAGTGTTGGAATTAAGTTTATAATGCCTTAATTAAAATATAGTACAAATTTCAAAATCTATTCAATCTGACAGATCATCCAAATACTTTTAAAAGGGAAAAAGAGAGAATTAGGCCAAGACTTGAGATGAATTAAAATTAATAAGCCAATAGTTTACATAAGTTAATAAATAGGCCAAATTACTATTTTTGTCCATAACTTGTCTGGTTATGAACCATAATTTGATAAGTTATTCACAGTTTTTGTCTATAACTTGTCTGGCTATAAACCATAACTTGACAAATTTATCCATAACTTATCTGGTTATGAACCATAACTTGACAAGTTATGACCTATTAATTTCTATAACTAAAAATTGGCCTATATATTTTATTAAACTTTTCATATTGGCCTATTTTCTACTATTTTCCTTTTAAAAACAACTTTTAGACCCAAAAAGATAGAATAACTTTTAAGAAGCTCCCCCGGCTCATAAAAAAGACTAGTTGTTAGTTTTATCCTATAAAAAAAAAAAATTTGTTTGTCTGTTGATCCTACAAAACTCTTACTTTTAACCATTCGTCTTATGCGTGAATTTGCTTACTACTGGTAGTCTAATTGCTGACTGCTGGCCGCTGGAGTTCACTCGATAATGGTGAATTACTTCCGGTCACCTGTACACAGATATTTAGCTTGTTGGGCCTAGTAATGGCCCGTTAAGGGCTTTGTTCCATTTTAATTTACATGGGCCTCGGCCCAATCTAAAAATTTATACCATCTATAAGCACGTGCGGAGTCGGTGAGGCGTGCAAAGCGAGAATCTTCTGGGTCGTACTTGTAACTCGTACAGACAAGATTTTTTTTTTTTTTTTTTTTTCTCTCTGTCTCTCTCTCCTTCCTTATTAAACATTCTTGCGCGGTAATTCATCTAATCGTTTTTCTTAATTTCGAAGATTTTCTCTGAGGCGAGAAAGCAAGAAGGAAAATCAATCTGGGCATTCGTTCAAATTATCTATCTGGGTCTAATATGTCTTCTCCTGGCGAGTAATTCCCTTTTTCCCTTCCTCAGTTTTTTTTTTTTAATTTTTATTTTCGCATTCAACCTATTTCCTTTTATTATTATTAATTTATTGCGATGATTATCGATAATTTGTTCGTGTTTACTTGGGAATTCGATAAAGTTCTAAATTACCAAACTTATAATCATCCACTTCTGAAATTATAGCTTGTAATTTGAAATTTAGACGGTAAAAAGTATGTTTGATGATGAAAAACGAAGGTTTTATTATTATTATTATTATTTTAAAGTTAATGGGGTTCTCCTAAATAATGATGTAGACTAAGAATTGTTATGGTTTTTTTTTTTTTTGGAATTAAGTTGACGATAATATTTGTTTGTGAGAAAGAACTTGTCAAATTGTTGCTATATCAACTCAGAAAGCATTTTCCTTTTCTAGAATCTGGTTTATTTTTGCATTTGTGGATTTATTTATTCTAGCTCCGTACAGCCTTTATGGAGTTTGTGGCAAAATTAGTTCTGAATTGGGATTAGTGACTATTATCTAGGAGTTTAATGATTTTCACCCTGGTTGGCTGGTTGCATTGAGTTATATGGTATTGAAAATTCTTCGTTTTCACCGAAAACTTTTGCTCTTTAGGCTCTAGATAGAATGATTATACATTGAGGAGTAAATAGTTGTCTAGTTCATTGTATATATATCTCGTTCGCTATTCGAGTTTTCATCGAGTATAGACTCCAAAATAAAAGAGTAAAAAATTAGTTTAATTGCTGCATTGTGCGGTGTGTGTAGCCTAATTACTGCCTTGGCCCAAAGTAGCCTTGGCCCAAAGTATGTGTAGCTTAAGGTTATTCTAGATTTTTCACTTATATTTTCAGTTGCCGTCATGGGGTTCTGATTTTGGATATGAGAGGTTGGGGGGGAAAAAACAGAGTTTGAGAGGCTTGAGTTGTGTGATGCTCTTGTAAGTTGTAATCTTATTCTTAATTCTGTGGTGGCTGAAGGTGGATGTAGCTTTGAAATCGAGGGTGAATTACTATAAATATTGTGTTATTATTTGCTTTTTCTTTCATATTATTGTGTTGATAGTAAAGGGTTAGGGCTTTAATCCGTAACGCCTTGGACTTGGTGTGAGGCATCAATTTGAGAAACAAGTCAAATTGTGATACATCTATCAGTTCCATCTTATCTCATTATCTCTTTTGTGCTATTCTGAAGAGATAAAAACAGTAGTACTTATAAAAACAGTAGCAGGATATCTAATAAAGAACAAATTTCTTCATTCTGTTCTATCCTGTGTTCATTATTATTTATCCCGTCACCTTTGAGTGTAATGTTCTGTGGCTGTTTTTATATATTAATTTTCAATCCTTTACTGTTTCTTTCGTCCAGGTACTACAAGTCACTGCCGCCCATAAGTAAGGCTTATGGGACCTTGTGCCTGTTGACAACTGTGGGCTATCAACTGGGACTTTATGATAAGTTAGATCTTGCCTTGTATTACCCATATGTATTTCATCGTTTTCAGGTATGGATAGGCGTTAATTATGTGTTTTGTTGCTTAATCAAGACATTGCATGCTTATTCACTAAGTTTTCTTATTACTATGAGTAAAACTCTCTTTTGATTTCACCCTTAATTGTAGGTGTGGAGGTTGATTACAACCTTGTTTTTCCTTGGTGGCTTTTCCATTAATTTTGGGATCCGTCTCTTGATGATGTGAGTAAAACTTGGCTTATTTTTTTCCCTTATCAGTAGTTCCGTAGCAATATGGTTTGGGTGTTTTCTAGGATCAGAAGGTCTAATGATCACAGGCAAATTTTTAATTCTGTTTGGTTTTCAGCTTGATCTTTCTGTTTCATTTTTATATGTTTGCGTTTGAAAGACAAGTCCAGCTTTCTTATGGAATTTCTAGTTAGTTTTATTAGACTGTTTTCTTGGCAGTATTTGTGTAGCCTTATAGTTTTTGTTGTCCATGGCAGCAAATTGTCAGCCCTTCTATAGAAGCATGGCTTTTCGGTCCCCTTATTCAGCCTACTATTTGTGGCACATATATACCTTGCTTGTGACTTAAAAAAATATATAGTTTGTGTGAGAATTGGAGATAAATTAACTGCTTATATACAAGAGAGCTTAATCTTTTCTGAATTAACTCTTTCACATTGATGATTATATAGAGCAAGATATGGAGTTCAACTAGAAAAGGGACCATTTGATCGGAGGACAGCAGATTTCTTGTGGATGATGATATTCGGTGCTCTAACATTACTGGTATGTAGGAGTATAAATCGGTATCCATTAGCAAGTTTATCTGTCACTTGAAATTGAAGGGCAGATTTGTTGCACTGTTTCTTCTAGGTTGGCTCAGACTATTCTGAATCATGTAGGTATGTTCATTTCACAACTCAAATCATAAATTGAGTTGTGACTTGAGTTGTGTATGTGAGAGAAAAACACTGTAGTAAAAAAGTTGAATTTGAATTTTTATGAGACAAAACACTATAGTAATAAAACTCGAATTGTGACTTGAGTTGTGAAATGAACAAGGAAATCCCCCATTTTTTTTTGGGGGGGAGGGAGTGGGTTTAAAATTGAAAAGGCTAATCGTTCCTTTTCTCCTTCTGATTTTCTTGTTTGGTATAAACCAGTCATTGTAGTATATCACCTTATGTTGTTGTCGTCGTTGCTAGATTTGTTGTACGTCAAGTCTCACCTTTTACGCTTGTTTTGTGTTCCAGGTCTTATCCATCATTCCCATATTCCAGAGCTTCTACTTAGGGATATCTCTTGTATTCATGCTTGTCTATGTGTGGAGTCGAGAATTTCCAAGTGCCAACATCAACATATATGGCCTCGTGACGCTTAAGGTATGTGCCCACTGCCCAGCACAGCACGCCCATGCAAAGGTTTGGTCAGTTTTTTGAACTTTCTGCGGGGTGGGTGTCTGAATATCTGATGTGTGGATTTCAACAATGATGATTGCAGGCATTTTATCTACCGTGGGCAATGCTCGCGTTGGATGTCCTTTTCGGTTCTCCAATTATGCAGGATCTGCTCGGAATCATTGCCGGGCATCTCTATTACTTTTTGACTGTGTTGCATCCACTGGCGGGTGGAAAGAACATACTCAAGACTCCAACGTGGGTGTATCCTTTTTCATTTTAAAAGGAGAAAAAATATAATATTCAAGTCCTTATCCATGTGAAACTTTGTTAAAAGGGTAATAATAATAATAACCTTCAGCTGATTACATGCGTATACACATTATATATTCTGCCTCAAAGTGGTGAATTTGATGAATTGAAATAATATTCATTTGTGTCTATTGTTGATTATTGGCTTTTTTGAAAAGGGCATGTTTCCATAAGTTTCCTTGACTATTACCGCACAGACAGAGACTGGTTGCAAGATGGAGGATAGGAGCTCAGCCGAGTGTCCGGTCTCAAACCCAAAGCCAACCCGAAAGGAATACCGGCGTGGCTTTCAGGGGAAGGTCCTATAGGCTTAGTGATTAATTCTGCTCTGTCTGAAAGGGGCGTGAAGGTTCGAATATGGCCTGCTGTTTTTGCGGACAATGCTGGTAACGATCAGCTTGGAACCGTCTTGATTTCACCTTGTTACTCTTCTTGGAAGAGAAAGGGTTCTTAACTGTTTAAATGTCGAGCAAAATGCTGATTTTCCTTTGAACATTTTAGCAGGAAACCACAATCTTGAAGTTCTTTTTGGAAAGAATAGTATTGGATGTTTCTGACATGCACTAGTTTGTATCGAGCAACTCTTTCCATGGTTATATTAGTGTATTCTTCAAAAAAATTAACATTCTGATTTCATTTTCAGGAATTTTGATCAGCATAAAATTATAAAAATTTCCCATCTAGTTTTTCCCCACAATTTTTTTTTTGTGCAAATTAGAATATAATAGCAGATAATGTTTTTTGGAATTATAAACATAATTTTGCTTTCTTGCAAACACATCAAAATGTATGTTTTTAAAATTGCACATACGTTGCAATAGATATTAAATAATACCAATATCCAAACACAAATATTACCTTTTGTTATATGGTAATCCAAATATAATAAAAATTGGGCACTATTATGTTTACTGTGGCTTATTTACCATAATTTGTTAGATTTGGGGAATTGAGATATTCGTGGTAAGAATGTGAAATTTTTTATCGAACTAATTGCTAAATTTAGTTGGTAAATTGCTAAAGTTTAGAAATAGGAAGTAAGATTTAAATTCAAGGTACAAATATACAAAACATGGGAGCTAAAATTAGAAAGAATGATCGGCTTTTCAAAAAAAAAAAAAAAAAAAAACAAAATGAACGGGTGGCAGTCTCGTAAATATCTCGTAATTACTATATTAGGACGCGGCAATGGAGAACAGAGCAAATATATCGTGAAAAACAGAGCGAAAACAGCGTTTAGTTTGCCACGTCATCATTGTAAGAAAATAGAAATCATGATCACAATATTATTAAAAAAAAAATAATGCCGAAAACGAAGGTGCAAACTGAATGCTAAGCTGAATGGACGGTGGAGAGGCAATCAATCAGTAAATCAGAGCAGATCCGTCCCCACTTGTTTCTCTCTCTCTGACTTTGATAATTCATTCAAAGCACCTCCATATTTCTCTCTTGCTATTTAATTCCCTCCCAAACAAACAGAGCGGAGAGGAGAAAACCAGAACAAAGAGGAAGAGCGAGAAAGAGAGACACTCACAAGCGAAGCTAGAGAGAGAAGAGAGAGAAAATGTCGTGGCAATCATATGTCGATGACCATTTGATGTGCGACGTTGGCGATGGCCAGACGCTCCCCGCCGCCGCCATCATCGGCGTCGACGGCAGCGTCTGGGCTCAGAGTGCTTCCTTCCCTCAGGTTCTCTCTCTCTTCATGATTTTGTTTCGTATTTTTTTCCCCGATCGATTTCGTTTTTTGTCATTTTCTTTGTGTTGTTTTCTTGTGGCTACGATCAAATCGATTGATGTTGTATCGCGATTTGCGCGTTTATTATGGCTGACTCTTTGATCCTTTTCGAATTTCCGTGTTTGATCTGATCGATTGTCTTTTCATCTTGCGATCTAGCTGAAGGTGTTTATGATCTTACCATTTCGGTTTTGTTGGCTCAATTTGGTTTTATCATTTTCGGATCCTTAGTCGCTCGGGCAATGTAGTTGTCTTGTCGTCTGCGGTTGAGTTTGAGAGTGGCCCTTTTTTCGGGTTCAGGAAGGCATGATCTGATTATCACGTCATTTCCGTCAATAAGGCCTGTTATTGATACAAGAATGCTTTAACAAATATAAGATATCTCTGCCTTAAGTAATTCTTTTGATCCAAGATGGTTGCGTTGTTTCACCTAATTTATTGGCACCTGATTCATTGTTTTGGTTGAGATAGTTTCATATCGATAAGTCGTGTTGATTAGACAGGTCTTGTGTTCGGCTAATTTTGTGATTATGCTCTACTTTTTTGCTCTGAGTGATTATGCTCTACTTAGAATTGCAAATGCAATATGTTGACTATGACAAAGGATAAAGTATCTGAAATGCGGTTGGCTATCTATCCAGATAAGTTTGTGGGAGATCTCTGTCTTATCGCGTTTAGGCTCTTGCTAAACGTGATGTTTCAGGCTTTCAGCTTTTTTTCACGTTCTTCCATTGATGTGGCTGATTCTTTCTTTTTGTGTCCCTGGTTGTTTGAATACGTTCATTGTAGCAGAGTCAAGAGTGTCCTTTCGGGGATTTGCCTACATTACGGGGAAGTTGTGTTATTTTTCATGATCGTCCTTACATTGCTTTGGCCAGTTCCTAAGAGTGAGCTCCTCAGATCTATGGGCTTTTGGCCGCAGATCCATGAGAACCTTGTTTTGTGGTTGTCTTCCAATCCTAGTCCTGTAGTTTTGCAGGTCTTTCCAGCTTTAAATTGTAATTTTGCAACTACTTTAAACTGATAAAGAATTAAATATGGCTTTTGATCAGTTTCTAAACTGAGAAAGAATTTCTTATAACAAAGGTGTTAAAGAATCTGTTGAGCTGATTCAGAATCGGCTGGTATGTATCGAACCCCCAAGCGGTTGAGCTGTTTGTATCTTGCACTTTGCTTTCATTCTGAAATTATTTAGCTTGCATTTAGAATGTATCAATGCTTGGACATTAATTAAAGACTGGTGAGATCATTAGTGATATCTGATTTATCGACCATGTTTTTTTTGGCTTTCTATTTCCAGCTTAAGCCTCAGGAGGTCGATGGTATCGAAAAGGATTTTAAGGAACCTGGCCATCTTGCACCTACAGGTTTATACCTTGGGGGCACAAAGTACATGGTAATTCAGGGAGAGTCTGGAGCTGTCATTCGTGGAAAGAAGGTAATAGGACCCTATGTTGTTCATACTCATCCTCCTCATAAAGTATCCTTTTCTCAAAAAACTCATTCCATTTTAGTTAAAACTTAAGGAATTCTCATGTAAGTGGCACATAATTAAGCTAGACAATACTTAATTGGCACATTGATTAATTTATGTAGTGAAATGTTCTTTAGATCTTCTGATGTAGCACCTTGTTGTGTCAAAAATACTCTAAACTTCTAAAAAGAAATAACTTCTTCCGTGACTGGATTATTGGGGGGGGTTCCAAGTTAAGACGCAACATTATCCCACTTCTTTTTTTTTTTATTTTTTTATCATTTTTATACGGTTCCCCCTGTAATACTCTTTCC